CTGTTCGTTTAAAGACCAGCTCCTTCAATCAGCTGATCAAGGGATGCCAGCCGAAAGGTGCCAACAGCGGCACCCACTGTATGAATGTCATCTAGTTTCCACAGCAAACGGACAAAATTCACAGTGTATTGCCTCCTTTATTAGTGTAGCAAAAGACACTCAGCAGGGCTGACACCTTTCAGTCAACAAAAACAGCTATTTTCTGTACTTGCAGGGTCTTTGAAGGGATAAAACCTGGGAAAATGTGCATGCATTGCAGAGATGTATTGCATTTTTGTAACATGGCCTTGACATATGATTTAAAGCAGTATTAAACTCTCAAACTTTTTTCTAGTCATGAATCCAAATCAAACAAATACACATCGCCATGCAAAGCTTTGCTTTACATTTTTTGCCCAAACACATATAGCCATCATGTTTCTGAACAGCTGCTTCACAGTCTCTCAGCTCAGCTTCCCTGAACTTCCTGTCCAGTACAAGATCACAAAGGACAGTGCAGACTCCAGCAGCTGTTCATATACTAGATTGGAGAAGGGAGGAGAGGGGCCCAGAGGGGAGGGGAGTAGATTGATTTGCTGTGTCTGCGTATTTGTGGAGCCACACACAGCTTAATAGCACACACAAGGGTGGTACCATAGGGCCCTGCAAAAGAAAAGGAGCCACCCTATAACAGGACATCAGGCCCAGTGATCAGAAGACCAGCTGATTCTACAGGAAAACTAAAACTTTTAAACATCAAGGAGCAGCATCCATTGTAAGTGACTTTATCAGCATTTGAAATAGCTTAAAATACATATTGACTTTAAAATCAGTTTAACATGAAAAATATAGCTGATGATCAGTCCACTTTGATCCCAGTTGTTGTTGTTCATTGATAGCGTTAGTAGTCAACCAATTAGACTGCTTTTTGTTTCTGGTGCTGATTAAATTGTCTCAAAGGATAAACATAATATTTGATTATTAACATATGCAACGGTAAAGCAGTCCAAGTCATGAATACAAATCAAATTATTCTTAAGAGACCAAAAACAACAGGGATCATTACTATGGGGATTATTATCACACAGGCTATATATAGTCACACATCTACCAGGAGCTGCATTCTAGAAGAGACATTCATGTGCCTGCTCACCGGTGATAAGTTATCTCTATTACAAGATTTGTATTTGGAATCATTGAAAAAATAGATAACATTTTAGCAGCGGGCTAGATTCATGCAATGGGGTGCCAAATTTTTTCCAGTTCATATTAAAGGAAAACTCCAATCAAATTACAAATTTGACAGTTCTAATATAACGTCATGTTACTTGTTATTTACATAATGTATGTATATATTTTTTTATTTATTTGAAGTTGCAGGTACACAATTGTTTGCACTGAAGCGAGTCCTTAAACGGTTTACAGATGGAAAAGGTGTTTAGATTAATGGAAATGCATTCTGTTAGATGCCTGGTTTGTGCTCACATTACACAGAAATACCTTTGTTCCATAACTCGGTGCCCAAAACCTTGTTGGACATAATGTTTTTTTTTTAAGTGCAGCCAAAAAGCTGTCATCGGTAAGTTGCTATCCACATGCAAAGCAATCAATATACAATATATGTTGACCACATTACAAGGTGACACCAGAGCTGCAGAGATGTACCAAAAAATCACAGGGGAAACAAAACGCTTAAAAGAGTATGATTTACAAACACATTTCAGGGTCCTGCTTAGTCCATTAGCTGTAATTTTTATAGAATGGTGTTTACGCACTTATGCATTTTATGTGTAAATGTGAAAGCTGACATTAGCTTAAGTTTCTTATGTTTTCTGTTTGCATTTTCCAGAATGAGTGTATCTGCTGTTTTTTGGAGCTGCATTTCTTTAAAAAAGTGCATAGATTGTGAGTTATCTATTCTTTATTTGTTGTTAGAGAAAATTTTACCCCGTGATATTTTATAAAAATGAAATTGCAGACTAGATTTGGATAATGCAAAATGATCTACCGGTCTCTCTAAGTGGACTACTTATTTTCTGAATGTATCCAATACTGAGATTCTCCAAGCTCTTAAGACAGCATGGAATACAATCACTGCATCCACCTACAGAGAAATGGTATTAAGCAGGGCCGGACTGGGACTAAAAATAGGCCCGGGCATTTTAGACAAGCTATATTTACATATGAATGGGCTGCGGCTTAGTGATATGCAAATTACCGCGGCCCATTCATATGTTAATATCTCGGCCGGTACCGGGACAGTGCAGACTGCAGGAACAGCACCAGCAAGCCCCCCGGAAAGAGCACAGAGTAGAGGGAGCTGGGGGAGGAGGTGTTTCTCTGGCCTCCCCCACCAGCGCCCTCTAGTGTCTACTGTGTGGTAGTGCCGGCTCTGCTCGCTACCAAACAGTAGACACTGCTCTGCACAGAGTCGGCATAGCGGACCGGCCCGAACACAATCAGGTTAATTGTGTTCGGCCCGGCCCACCGGGTAGGTGCCCGGTTTGCCCTATGGCCAGTCCGGCCCTGGTATTAAGAGCTTATATCTCCCAGCATAAGTCTTATCTTATGGGTCTTAGTTGTTCCTTTAGGTGTTTGAAATGCGTGCAGGAGACAGTATATTTATATCATCCTTTTTATCGTCCTTTTGTAATGATATTGCCCAGCATGCTCTGCAAAATGTGGTGAACTATTTACCCCTATCTGCAGCTTGGAAAATCTTTGATATATTAGATTTGCATTTGCAGTTAAAAATCACCCCGGGATGTATAAAGCTATTGTCTATCATATCCTTGGTGTGGAAAAAAATGATTCTGCATCAATGGATACTTCCTGAACCACCTTCTCTAATGATGTTTGTATTTCAAAATGATTGAACGCAGACAATGCTTAGTAAGGATAAACAAACTCAAAAATGTTCTGATATATGGGACTCATTTATTGACTCCTTACGAAAATGAAAACATATGCAATCTTTCATCTTAACCCTGTGGTACACTAGGAGAATGATCTCCAATGACCCCCCGATAATCATAGCTGAAAGGGAGAGGGGCCTCATCCCTTTTCTCTCTATTGAGATCAATCGCTGCAAAATGTTTTTTTTGTTTGTGTTACTTAAATCTTACTTTTCCTTTTTATTCTTCTGCTATTGTATTCTAATGTAGGTAGAAAACTTTGATTGTAGATATATGTTCTGTTGTATACTTTAACATCTTAATTTTTTTAATTTTGTTCTGGTTTTTTATATTGAGTTGGTCTTTAATAAGAAAGAGACTTAAGTTAAATTTGCCCAGTGGGCCATGAAGGAGAAAAGGAAGATGAAGGGGAGAAAAATAAAATAAAATTGCAAGACGAGTGACATTGGAAACTATAATATAGAGGCCAGCATGTGTAAGGTGTGTGCTAGAAAGTGAACCTAACATGAAGAAGTGTGAATGGGGCCTTAGTCCCTTAATAACCAGCCTGTGTAACCAGCCTGTGTTCAGTTCCCCCATTAGCATCACTTCCTGTAACATTAACAATACTCGAAGACTTAATCTTACACCAGAGTCTTTAGGTCTGTGCAGCATCCTTATTGGAGACTAGTCACTCCATAGAGGCCTACTTGGTCAATCATGATGCTTCCCTTTACCTTTCTGATGGACTCCACTGATTTTTTGGTCTTCCATATGGATTTACAGATTTGCAAAGTTAAATGTCCACCCCTAACATGGCTTTATATGGTCAATGACATCAGCAGAAGCATTCCGCTTTGTTTATGACAAGGGTGGGAATAAGCTCAGGTTCAGACCGAACCCAGTCCACAACTGAGCTCCTCTGAACAGGATAGTGCCATAGGCCATTCACCCAATCAGCTGTGGGCCAGGGTATGACCTGATATCAGGTCAAATTCAGGTAATTACACACTGCTTGCAGTAAAAAGAAAATGCATGCAATGATTTAATAATGAATAGAAAGCTTCTTTATTTTTTTAATATACTGTATGTGCTTGGAGTTAAGCTTTGAGCAGGCCAAGACCAAAGGGCGTATTTGCCGCGAGGCAAACAAGGCGTTTGCCTTGGGCGGCACTCCCCAGAGGAGCGGCGAAAATGCTGCAGCCCGATGAAGTAACAGGGCAATCGGAGGCCAGGAGGATGCAGCGAGTGGATGGTGAGCCGGAGGCAGCGGGGGACGGTGAACAGGTGGCAGCAAGGGACGTGAGCTGGAGGCAGCGGGGGACGGTGATCAGGAGGCAGCCGCAGCAAGGAAAGTCAGTAGAAAGGGACGGGTCCGGGACGGTGAGGAGGAGGGTCCGGGACGGGTCCCCGCAGCTTTGATCGGGCTACGTGGGAGGAGGAAAAAACCTTATTTATCTTGGACTGGGTTCAGTATGAACCTGAGCTCATTCCTACCCTCGATTAATAGTTAAAATTACTGCTACTCTTAGAGACCAGTACCAACTTGTTGAAGCCTACAGGAATTGTTGGAAAACCCGATCAGTCATTATATTATAAGGGTGAGAGGCAGGTCTATGGTCTTGATTCCATAATCTCATTCTACTCAGACGATGAGCCTGGAAACCGGACCCTTGGTGTGTTATCATATACATGCAAAGTTGCCTGGTGATAAACAAAGATTACATTTGGTCTTGGCCTGCTCGTGGCTTAACTCCAAGCACATACATTTAGAAAAAAAATAATGATGAAGCTTTATGCTATTAAATTGTTACATGTATTTTCATTTTAATGCAAGTCGTGTGTAATTACCTGAATTCGACCTGATATCAGGTCATCCGTTTTAAAACAGAGCTCAGATTGGGAGAGAGAAAAGCAATACGAGGAGCCAATCAGTTGTGCTGCAGTAGTTATGTGTGGTGGACAGAAATACAGATATGACAGATCCTATACACAGTATGTCTTTCATCTGTCTTTTTAGCTGTTTACCTGGACTTCAGCTTTAAAGTTACATCAAGCCATGTATTAATGAATAACATCAAAGTGTCATGTTTTTCTTTTTTCAGATTTCAAGCTTTTGCCTGAAAAATGTACGTGAATCAAACATTTATAGACTATTTTATCATTAAAGGGATATCAGATGACCCACACCTTCAACTTCCCATCTTCCTTGTTGTCCTCCTCATTTATCTCATCACCCTGTGTGGTAACCTAACTATTCTTATTGCTTGCCGGGACCCCCAGCTCCATACACCCATGTATTTCTTCTTGGCCAACTTGTCTGTAGTTGACATCTCTTGTACTACAGTGTCTCAGCATAAGATCCTCACACAATTCATCACTGGTCACAAAGAGGTCTCCTTTTTTGCCTGCATGGCACAGATGTATATGTTCGGCTCTTTACAGATTCTTGAGCTGGTCATACTGACAGCTATGAGTTATGATAGATATTTGGCCATCTGTAAACCTTTGCATTATCACATTATTATGAATCCAAGAATGTGTGTCTTGGTGGCTGCTTTCTGCTGGTTGTTTGTGTTTTTGGAAATCCTTCCCCCAGTTGGGGTAGTGTACAGCTTTTCTTGCTATACAACCAATGAAATCAACCACTTCTTTTGTGATATTGTCCCTTTGACCCAGATTACTTGCAATGACACAAGAGTTCTGGAAACCCTATTCTTCATAGAAGCCTTGTTTCCTATGATGCTTACACCATTTCTCCTCACATTTGCTTCTTATGTGTTTATAATAGCTTCCATATTAAAGATCCGTTCTACTTCTGGCCGACTTAAGGCCTTCTACACATGTTCTTCCCACCTCACGGTTGTCATACTGCTGTACACTACGCTGTTCAGTCAATATCTGACACCAAACTTGGGTACAAATTCGGATACCAAAAAGGTTTCTGCTCTGTTAAACACGGCTGCTGTCCCGATGCTTAATCCTCTGATCTATAGTTTGAAAAATAAAGATGTCAAGGCAGCTCTCGTGAGAGGCAGAGGATATAGCAAAACAAACCATTAACGTTTTATTGGAGTTGAGAAAGCTTTCCGTTATGAGTGGAGCAGAACAGCTGTGACAGATCTGGGCACTTTCAGGTGCTCATGGACAATGACTTGAAGTTACTGTACTGTTGTACATCAAAGAGCATCATATTCATTATCATTGTCATGACATTAACATGGAATATAAAGGCCTTAGAAGGATTGCTATATAAGCTTTTAACTATTGCATACCCACAGTCCGAAATAGAAAATATGAATACTTCTACTTATTTACTAAAATTCCTATTGACTTCTTCTCTATAAAATATCATATATCAGTTGAAGAAGATAGATTAACAGACTAATATTTAATGGAATAATTTATTTCAGAACAATGTATAATTTGTATAATAGACTCAATGTACATGTGGCCAATCAGAATCCTAAATTACCATGGTGGCATAATACCAGAAACATTTAGCAGAGCATTCAACTCACTAGAGACAGAGGGTTTCTACTACAGCCCCTGACATCAACAAAATGGCTGAACATAATATTCCATATATGAAATGCTACAAAAGACTGTCAGAAGTTGCAGGAGATGGCAAAAGGATCCAAACAAGGAAAAACCACATCACAGTTCAATATAACATAAATAAATAATTTAATTAATTAATAAATTAATAATGTTATTATTTTATACATTTATGTTATTTATACCATGTATAATTATTTTTTATTTACAGGGTTTTGGGGGTGAGGAATGCATTCTGTTTAGGGATGTTCAGATACCAAGTACCGTACTCGCTACAAGTACAAGTACAGATACGTTTCCAGCTCCAAGACTAGAGAAAAATTCAAAAACTAGGAGGCAGCTGTCATTTGTAAGGAGCACACCGAGCTCCTGGGATTTGTACATCTCTGTTTTAATGTATGATGGTTTAAATGTATATATGGTTTTTATAAATATTTATAAGTGATGCACCGATACCATTTTTTCAGGTACAGGTACTGATACTTGTCCACTACAGATACAAGTACTGATACATTTTTTGTTTATTGCCATGTGATAGTTTAGAAAGTCATGAAAATTATTATAGCACTTAGAAATTGCCAAAATATATTATGAAGGGAAAAATATGTTTTACTGAAATTCATACCATATGATTGGACCGAATAAAGAGAAAATGGGGATAATAATTTAAAAAAAGGTATGAAGTTAAAACTTGTTGGTCTCAAGTGCTAAAGCCTCCAGGAGAATCTTCACAGCAGACACACTTCCAGGCATGTCAGATATTTGTTGACCCACGCTGTGCTCATTGGTTCATCTCACTGGGTCCTACATCTCTACTGTGCCGTGTACTGATGTAGTACCAACAGAAGGAACCACAGAGGTCAGAGGGAGACATAGGCATCCGATTCCCCCAGAAGTGTAGAATTCTGAAGATGCTGCTGTTGGCTGTAGTGCTTGAAGACAGTAGAGTTTAGACTTACCTCCGGCTGTAGTAGTAGAATAATTTAGGCAAGGTATATATCACATACTGTATATGTCTGTAATTAGTAATATAGTTTTCAGCATAATGTTACATGTTTTGATCTGGCTTAATAGGTCATAAAGAGTGGTTGGATATTTATGATAAATAAATATGAACAAAAAAGTAATAAACACATATGATATACAAAAATAGGCATGTCATGTGGGTTGGGAGATTCTAAACTAATATACCTACATATGTCTTTGTTACATTTTAGCTTTTTTTAGATAGAACTTTCAAAATGCTTGTGAATCAGACAACTTAAAATGTAAAAAAAAAAAAAAATGATCAAAATGATTTAATAGGAATGTCATAGGAATATAATAATATAGGGTAGGTTGTAATATAATCAACTTATATATATTTTCTTCCTTTCTATAAGATCCTACAACATGGCTTTCAGAATGCTTGTAAATCAGACCACTATCCAATATTTTATCATTAAAGGAATCTCTGATGACCCCAAGTTACAGTTTCCGATTTTCATTCTGGTCCTCCTTATGTAGCTTATAACTTTGAGTCCTAACCTGACCATTCTTGTTGCTTGCCGACACCCTCTGCTCCATACTCCCATGTACTTCTTCCTTGGAAACTTGTCTATGATAGATATTTTTTGTTGTACCATATCGTTACATAAGCTTCTGATCAACTTCATTACTCGTGATAAGACTGTTCCATTTCTTCATTGTATGATACAAATTTACCTGTTTGGTTCCTTTGCTGGTCATGAATTTTTGATATTGACATCCATGAGTTATGATCGGTATGTAGCGATTTGTAAGCCTTTACATTGCCATCTGGTCATGAACAGTAGAATATGTACTTTGTTGGCCTCACTTAGCTGGTTGTTAGGGTTTTGCCAAGTCCTTCCTCCTTGTGGTATCGTATTCAGCTATACTTGCTATTCCTCCATTGAAATCAACCACTTCTTCTGTGATATTGTCCCCCTAATGAAAATTTCCTGCAATGACACAACTATTCTGGAACTTCTGTTCTTCATAGAAGGATTATTTCCTATGATCTTCACCCCCTTTGTCCTCACCTTTCTTCCTTACATCTTTATAATAAATGCTGTATTGAAGATCTCTACAAGTACTGGAAGATGTAAGGCCTTCTACACATGTTCCTCACATCTCACAGCTGTGTCCTTGCTCTGCACAACTCTAACTGCTCAATATTTGATGCCAAACCAATCTAATACCTTGGAATTGAAACAACTTTTATCATTATTTAAAACAGCTGCTGTCCCTATGCTAAATCCATTCATTTACAGCTTAAAAAATCAAAATGTTAAAAGGGCTTTTAAAAGGAGCTCAGGCTGATGTACCCATTACCCCAAGTATCTTCCTTCAAGCTTTCCTTGAGAAGATGTATAAAATGTGTGCATTTGTCCTGTTCAGGATTATTTTTTTTTCTTTTTAGTCATCCAGCAGGTGATGAACTCAAGCCAGTTCCTAGTGATGATGTCTAAGAAATAAAAATAAATATAAGAATCACAAAAAAAAGATTATTTTGCACAATCTTGCATGTTATTGTATAACAAAATTAGTTTAGCTCTTTTTTTTCTGCAGAGCTGTAAATAAGTCAGTTATGTAATTAAAATAACTTTAAAAAAAACTAAGTTAGAAACTCTTAAGATAAGACATAATAAAGTGAAGCAGCCTTTTACCACCAGATATCATATTAACCCCTATCAGATTATTGATCACGAGTATTTTTTAACATTAGTTTAATTTTTGTATGCACTGATTAGTAATGTATGGTCTTTTAAGGCCATTCACAATTTACAGGAGGTAAATATCATCACAAAAAAGGGAACATGAGAATCATTACGAATTTAAAGTTATGATTTTAGGTAATATTAATGGTAATTCACAATATTTTTTACCAGTATAACTGGGGAGAACAGCCCTGATTATAAACTAAGTTATGGATTTCAGATATATTATAAGGGATAAATGGAAATAATGTATTATTCAGTTGTGTTCTGTATTATTGTGGATTGTGTATTAGTTGTGGAATATGTGATTAATTGTGATTATTGTTTGGGAAAAATAATAAATATTAAACAAAAAAAGACATAGGCAGTCAAAAGACAAAATTAAAAGGGCATCATCGGCGAAAAGGCATAACTTATGGGAAGTGCCATCATAGAACAAGCCTGTCACATCTGCATTAAGTCGTATCATTTGGGTCAAGAGTTCTTTTGCAAGGGCAAAGAGGAGAGGGGATAGAGAGCAACCTTGTGTAACGATCAGACCCCACAGGTCTGTTATGGTAGAGGATCACAGCTGCAGAAGTATGAAGCAGGGGTGAAATACTATGCCACAGAATTTTAATAGTGTTGATGGTGGAAGTGAATTGGAAATACTGGAGCTAAAGTTAAGCTGAGGGTTTTATTCAGGGGAGCAGTCCTTGATTGGTGGGTTGATGGAATGCAACAGTCAGGATTGTTAGCAGGTTATCTTGATACACAGTCCTATAGTGATGAAGGCATATGTGAAAACAATGTCTTTGAAATGACTACTTGCTGTTTCTGTGGAGAGGAATGGCAGGAGTAAGTTGGTGCCCTCCAGTGGTTAGTTAGTGGAACTGCAGTCCGGCTGAGATGTCCTTGCTGAATGCTCAGGATAGAGTGGTGGAAGGAGACTGACACCCACAGAGGAGGGAGGTCGGGTATTGCTGGGATGGCGGTTTTGGAGGGCTCTGGCCGGCCCAAAAGCAGCAGAGGTTCGGTGGGTTGAGACGGGGAACTTGCCTGGCGTCTTCACACTTGCTCGAACGCCAGGCAAGTGTAACCGTCGGCTTTAAGAAGTGAGTGTGGGAGGAGTTTCGTGACGTCGCGGCTGACGTCACGAAGTTCCGACGGCGATTCTGGCCGCGCTGGAACGAGGATCAGGTGAGTCAGCGGTTGAGTCCGTTACACCACGTCTCGTACCTCTTTGGATGGAAAAGGAGGGAGAATATCTAATGAATGCCGAGGGGGAAGAATATAATGATATCCAATAGAGAAAAAAAGGGCCAAATCCACGTTGACGTAAAATATAAAAAAGATAGGGCCAAGACAATGTATCAAATGCCAACCAACACCTTCGCCATGATCTTTAGGTCCACATTATTGAGCGAAATTGGTTGAAAATTGGACCACTGTGAATGATCGGTTTTAGGTTTGAGGATCATGCATATGGACGCAGTCAAGGATTCCCGACTGAAGGAACCGCCCGTGCGAATGTGATTGAAGGTGTTAGTTAGGAGGGGAACAAGAAGGTCAGAAAATTCCTGGTAATATGCAACAGAAAATCCGACAGCACCAGGTTTTTTAGAACGTGCAAAAGATTTTCCTACGATCCAGTTTTCATCCGCACAAAGTCCTTTCCAGAAAGTCAATTCCATGGAGCCAAATGTCTAAAGTGGGTCATAGATGAGTGAGCATGAGCTAGGGGAACATTATTTATGGGAAATGCAGGAGAAGTTGAGAGTTAGGGGTTATCCTGTGCCGCTTCTGGATTGGGAGACACAGTATATAGTCTCTCCCCATCACAGGCAAACGATTTGGAAAAATACTCCCTACATTTTCAGTATCTAAACATTTGATGGAATTTGGACTCTCTGAAACTGATATACGATTTATACGGGGTGGAGACAGAATTGCATTGTTTAAAAAAAAAAGGCGTGGTAGATTAATAGGTTGGACACATTATCCCCACAAGGTTTAAACAACTATGGTCTTTCTTTTTCTGTGAGGAGTTGTTATGTAAAAATATGGATGGTAAAGGAATATGGTATTGTAAAAAATGTTAGATGACAATGGTATTAGTATTGTTACATTTGTGTCCAAAAGATGGAGAAAATATTGTAATGGATAAAGATTTGTATTTATGGACTTTCCAGAGATGTCTTGGATTCTGCCCGGACAGTTATTCAACTCCTACTGTATGTATTTTACATTTTGTTGGACGCATATACACAACAACTCGTGTTTAAATTGTACCTTGGGCTACATGGATTTGTTTGTGGACCTGGGGTTAAAATGAGGAACATTGATGACCATGGTGATATATGGCAGGCGTGATAAATGGTGCGATCATGTGAAGTTCCTCTGTTATAAAAATGGATTGTATTTGTAAGGTGTATTATTGTTTTACCTGACGAAAGGCGGGGACGCCCAAAACTATTATACGTTCCATGAGAATGATCTGATAAATAATTAAGAAGCAATGAGAAAGAAGGTTGAGAGGGTTTTTGGATGTATATTACATATACAAAGACTAAATACTGTATACAGATACACTTTCAGTTTCCCGGGATGAGCTTTTAGCACAAAAAACAGGGACAGCAGTCTCCAGAAATGTCCAACACCAGCATTAGTTTCATTTTACAAGCAATAACCCTGTTTGCAAGCCTGTAATACACGGCTAAAGCAATCAATGGATCTTTGCAACGGAGATGGCCAAACTTCTGAACTTTTTAAAACTTTGCAAACCTCCAGAATTAATCATTTCTGAATCAGAAGTCCTACTGAAATCAATGGAAACTAGGATCCAAAAAAGCATGTATTACAGAGCAGTAAATAATACACAATTGTACAGAATGGTTTGGGAAGCTCCTGGCAGCTCTGTCTGATGAGATTATGGGGCCAAAAAACAGTCTGAGCTACTTCCTTTAAAAATTCTACCAGGAATACTGAGCTAAAAGGGAGAGAGCTGGTGGCACTGGCAGTCAATCCAAGGGTGCCCAGGCAATAACAAAATCAGATATAAGGAAGAGGCAGCCTTTGAAGAAGCCTTTAGGAAATCTGAAATTTCAATTCCAGGCCAGGCTCATACTTAATACAGAAAAAAGTTTCCAGGCATTGCAGGTCTATTGAGCCATTTCTGACTAAGGCTCTAATAAGATGTGTAGTGGCATCACAATGAAAACGGGAGACATACAATGTTATAAAAAATTGAGTTGTTTCAGAGATTGGGTAGAATTGCAATTGGGGTGGTAAACAGGTTGAGGTGTGCTTTAAAGGCCCCTAATGGAGAAATATGCAATTTGCTTCAGGTCAGCAAATACTTTCCAGCATGAATTTTTAGATGTTTGATCATCTTGAGTTCCAAAGTTTAACGATGTTTTCATAATTGGAAAATCCAAGTATTTGTCAAATATTACAGCATAATAAATGTAGTGTGTACAGTGTATATAAATAGATTATGCAATCATACACATAAATATAATTGATTTGCTAGTTCACAAGTCCACAAAGTTCACAATTAGCTGGTCCTAATTCCCAGTTAGCATGCACTCTAAAGAATTCAAAGCAAATATATTATCACAGGTACACAGTCATAGCCAGAAGATTCTAAATTACTACACAAAGCCAGACCTTGACTCTTTGAGCATTTCTTCTTGAGATGAAAGAAACATCTATATAAGGAAGTAAGTGAAATGTTGGCTTCTTTATTATAACTAACACTATGATTCTTTTTTTTTACACAATGTTTAAGGCGTAAGGAAATCATTGTGTCTGTGATGCCAGATGCAAGGACTGAATTAAAAATCTTCTTTCAACAAAAGCCCATCTACACACTGTATTTATATATGAAAAACTAACAGCTAAACGTCATGACACAATGCACAAATTCGAAAAAGTTTGGGATCCATGGATTTGGAAATGTCTTCCGCCCCACTTTGATGCCGACTTAATAACGTCTTGAGATGTTACCACTTCTCTAGACCGTCTATCATTGCAACCTTCTACAGATAACGTATCTCTGAACCTGAGTCTTTCCCCCCACCTAACTTTTCCCTCCTTCTTTCCCCTTATGGATTTTTCAGATCTCTCTCTTTTCCTCTCCTTCTTTCTCTTTTCATCTTCCAATCCAAATATTATTGGTTTATTTTTTACGAGATCCGGGACTCTGTTAACAGTCTATGTTTTGTGAAAACAGATAGGACATTTGTGTATGTTCGATTGATCCTTATTCTACCTATGGCCTGAAGATTTTAGCCCCACATCACAGATGTTTATGCCACTAACCCGATCAATTTATGCCCTTTCAGCTTTTAACCAACCACTATGACTTGTTTCTTATTGCATTACTGTATTATTCGGATTCTGTAATTCTAAATACTTCCAATAAAAATAATTATGTTGAAAAAAAAATACTTTCTTCCTCTTACCTTAACAAAATGTCATACAAAATGCGATTGTTGCTAATATACTGTATATCCTATTGTGCAGGAAACATGTTTTACATGATTGGATCCTATCGACCAACAAATTGGTTAGACCAGATACCTAGAAAAGCACAGCTACTGTATATTATAAGGATATTGTTTATTAAAGGTAAACTCCAGGCACATATAACATAAGAAAATGAATGCTGTTTTGTATATATTTGCATTCCATACATCATGTCATTGATTGGTTGATTTGATTGATCTCTATTTAATGCAAGCAGTGTAGGTACCTGAATTTTCCTTGGTATCAGCTCAGATTATTTTAGGCTAACAACATAATACTTATGTGTCATCAGTTACACGGTATGTTACAGAATGTCAAATTGTATAATTATTTTTTTTAGAAACATTGGCTAGATAATCATGACAAATAAAATACATATGGTTTACCAGAGATACCATAGGCTCATCAAGAAGTGGGGTGGAAAATATTCAATGTTTACGGTATATATTTTCTTGGTTTCTTTCAGATCCTAAAACACAACTTTCAAAATGATTGGCAATGAGACAACTATCAAATATTTTATCATTAAAGGCATCTCTGATGCTCCCAATCTGCAGTTTCCAATTTTTTTTCTGGTCCTCGTTATTTATCTTATAACTCTGACTGGTAACCTGACCATTCTTGTTGCTTGCCGACACCCTCTGCTCCATACCCCCATGTACTTCTTCCTAGGTAACTTGTCTGCACTAGACATCTCTTGTTCTACCATTACTTTGCATAGGCTTCTGATAAACTTTATTACCGGTGATAAAACTGTTCCATTTCATCAGTGCATGATACAAATGTACATGTTTGGATCATTTGGTTGTCTTGAATTATTTATCCTGACATCCATGAGTTATGATCGTTATGTAGCAATCTGTAAGCCTTTGCATTACCACCAGATCATGAACAGAAGAATGTGCATTCTATTGGCCTCGTTGAGCTGGACATTGGGGTTTTGCGAAATTCTGCCTCCTTTTCTTATAATATACAGTTATACTTGCTATTCCTCCAATGAAATCAATCACTTCTTCTGTGATGTTATCCCTGTAATGAAAATTTCCTGCAATGACACAACTATTCTGGAACTTCTGTTCTTCATAGAAGGATTATTTCCTATGATCTTCACCCCCTTTGTCCTCACCTTTCTTCCTTACATTTTTATAATAAATGCTATATTGAAGATCTCTACAAGCACTGGAAGACGTAAGGCCTTCTACACATGTTCCTCACATCTCACAGCTGTAACCTTGCTCTATGCAACGCTTGCCATCCAATATTTGACACCAAACCAATCTAGCACCCTAGAGGCCAAAAAGATTTTATCTTTATTTAACACAGCTGTTATCCCGATGTTAAATCCATTCATTTACAGCTTAAAAAATAAAGATGTTAAAAGGGCTTTGAAACTGAGTCTTGGCTAATGTAACTGTCCTATTATCCACATTCTGTTTTACATTAAAACAACTCTGCATCTGTGTAAAAAAAAAAGAAAACTGAACCCAAGCCAAGCCTGCAAAGAAAAGCATGAATAGTTAGCCATCCCCGAGACACCAAAAGCCATTGAAAAAAAGAGAGTCTTGCTAAAATCTTGAAAAGTTGAAAGATGTTGTAAGTTGAAAGAAATGCTCACATTGTTTTGTCTGTCCAAAGAGCACAGTTTGGGTGTGAGGGTAAAAAATGTAATCAATAGGTTTTTTTTCATCAACTAACAACTTACAAAATGGATAAATCCTAAATCAAATCAATATTTGGTGTGTTTACACTTTGTCTTTAAAATAAGGTGACCAGATTTGAAATGGAGTCAGACTTCACCTGAGTCTGGGTGTTTGCCCATAGGTGTCTGGCACTGCCATTTCTACCTCCACTTTGCCCCACAGTTAGCGAGTCAAAACCTACAGTCTTGCTTTCAAATGCCCCCTCCACATTGCAGAACACTCCTCCATACTTCACCATGGGCACTTGGTCAGTGCTGCCTTGGTAGCCTAAGCCCAAAGCCACGTATAGCCTACCTCAGAGGGCTGCCTTCCAAATAGCTCCTAACCTGTATATTCTTAGCCTCTTCCATTTACACCTGTACACACACACAGCTACTGACCCGACCTGTACACACGCAGCCCCCTACCCCAACTGTACACACAGACCCCTTTCCCCATCTTAACGCATCCAGACCCCTTCCCCCTCTGTGCATACACACCCCCTCCCCCTGTACACACACATCCCCTCTCCCCCATTTGCAAACACGCATACCTTTTCACCTCTCCTGTAAACATGCAACCCCCCACCTGTACACACATATTCTTCTCCCCCACTTGTACATTCACAGGCCTTTCTGGAACGTATGCACATTGTACTACTCCTTAGGAACAGGCTGCAGACAGGCTACAGCAAGCTTCCTGAATTACCTTTTCCTTTTTTGAGCAATGAGGGACAGGCTAAGGCACCCAGTTAAATTGTAAGTACACTTGTAAGTTGTCTTTCCCATCCCATCCCCTGTTGTCTGATACCATGGCTGAGACACAGAGCTGAGCTGGAGCCAATTGTGGATTCAATAAAGTTTATTGGAATTGAAAAAGAAAAGTACAGGGGTGTGCAACCGTAATGTTTATTTACTTAAAATGTTTTTTAAAAGGTTTTATCTCAGCAGCTCACAAATGTGTTGTCAATACATACAACAGTTTTGGGCCAGCGGGAGCCCTTCCTCAGGTCTCACAAACATCTGGCTGGTTTTACAAAGTATTTCCTGAAATAGAGGAGGACTGGAAGTGACATCTGCATTGCTATCAACTCCTATACCTGTATTACACACAATCTTTAATATTCACCATCAAGAAAAATACCAACTTACGTTATAATCACTTTAACATTCTGATGAATATTAACAGTACAAAAACGATTTCAATCCACACAATGGTGTCTAATGTTAACATCACATTATACAGATTTATCCATATTATTTTATACATCTATCTGTGTTCTTTGTGGCAAGGATACATTCACATTCCAGAAGCTGTCTCCACCCCTATAAGCAAAAGAACACAAGAGAAAGGAAAATATACACTAAGTATAAACAGTCATAATAATTGGATTATTTACAAGTCAGACAACATGTGGAGTATATTATCAAGTGCCTATGCACTTACTGTATGTCCGTAAAATGATCCAGAAGTTTAATCACCTGCAGACCTGGGTGTTAAACTCCCTTGCTGTCCAGGCCATTTTTCAGCGCTGAAATACTTTGACTGACATGTATTTAGTCATGCAACGCCGAAACAAAATGAATTTTTCTTTTTTTACTATTTAAAGAAAAAAGCAAACATTTTGAAACAGAAAAGCTGGTTTCCTTAAGAAACATTTATTATTAGCCACTTTTTGAGTAAAATATAAAAGACGGGGTCACGTCAAGTAAATAAATACCAAACATGTCAAGCCTTAAAATTGCATGCACCCTTAAAATCGCAAAAAACTATCATACCCAAAGTTGTCCATAGACGACCCTTTAAAAACATTACCAGACCTTGCTACATCCACAGACTATACCTGCTTTAGGCAACCTGTCCTGAGGACCCTTATAGTGCAACCTAACAAGAATTAAGAAACCCAATAGGATTACTGCAGAATTGCACTACTTACCACAGACTAAAAACTACTGGCCAGAATAATGGCAACCAGTTTACAAACAATCTTGCCATCCTTAGGTACCGCACCAAGTTGGCTTTGTTAAAAACGAACACTTCACCAGACATACATATAGTAACAGCAGCAACAACACTGTTGCCCAACAAAAAACTTATGTTTTTAAGCATAGATGCAGGAAAGACATTTGATAACATCTCCTGGCCTTTCCTTAATGGAGAACTATGGGGTAAGTGTTTTTTCCCATTGTTCTCTTTAGGGTCACGGGAGGACATATACTAACCTCCTCCCGTGACCCAAGGCTCAGTATATCGCGGGCTATTGCCCGCGATATACTAAGAGCACCGCAGCCGGGACGGATCCCGACAATATTGTCGAGATCCACCCAGCTGCATGAGTGACAGCTGGCTCTGCCTATCTAGAGGCAGAGATAGCTGTTCCCGCCCCCTGCCCCATTTGTTCCTACACTCAGCGCTGGAGAATCAGAGAAAGGAGGGGGGAATCCCTGCGGAGGAGTGGTGACTGACAGTCACCGCTCACTGCAGGGAGACGATCGGGAAGTGAGCGGATCGGCGGCAGGTTTCTGCTCACTTCCCGATCGATAGAGCTGGCCTGTGACAGCTACTTTGTCAAAGGTAGGCTCTATCTATAAGCATGAGTGGAAATCACTCACCTCATAGTTCTCCTTTAATCCTATCAATGACAACCTTTTAACACCAGCTTTCTCATACATCTAATACCTCTACACCTCTGCAACAACATCTCCAATCATAAACAACATCCTTTCAAATAAAATACAAACAGAGAGAGGCTCAAGACAAGGCTGCCCTTTCTCCCCTTTCTCTTGGCCCTTGACCCCATCTTCTGCCTCCCTAGTACATCTTCTCACTTTCAAGGTATCCAACTAGACTCCATAACCATCAAAGTGGGTGCAATTGCAGATGATTAACTGATATCTATCTCCAATCCTAAACAAACCCTTCCTACATTATCCAGCTAATAATTTACAACAATCTCCGATTACAGTATTGATTTTGATAAACCTTCTGCACTCTATTTACACTGTACAAACAAACCACCAAAAAGGTCTATTATGCCTGTTTTAATGGGCCAAAAATTAAATAAAATATCTTGGAGTAATAATGCCTAAGAACCCAAACCGAAAGCATACCCACTTCACTCAAACACATTCAAAAAGTATTCACAACATGGTCTAACCTTACACCTTCCTATCTTGGCAGAGTCTCCTCAATCAAATTGATCAACTTTCGCCTTTACCTTTCTTAACACAAAGCTAACCCATTCTTCTAAACCCAAAGGACATTCAAAAAAAGGAATCAAATGATAAGACACTTTATATGAAGGAAATAAGACACTTTATATGAAGCGCTACTACTGGAAAAATCACAAACAGTCTTTTATTATTCTCTTTTATTATTCTCAATATAGTCTCTACACTACACAATATAGTCACAAACAAAGTCACCCTAATGACCATGCCACATTATTTCTAACCCTCATAGGCAATGAAGACTTCTGCCCTGGTCTTTACTCAGCCACATTCCATAACTAGACCAATCATGGGCTCACATAAGACAAGAAAGGGACTCAGAAACTCTAAAATATTATATCTTTTCAAAAGCTTAAAAATCTGAGGGACACTAAACGCACACCAATCAAATTTTGTAACTAAATCCTGATAAAGCGAAACATACAGTACATCCATAAAATGCATTGAGTCAACCATATCCAACAGCTGTTGCTTCTAATAAATGAATGTAACAAACTGAAGAGTATGATTTGATACCATTTTTCATAAAGTTGACATTCTAAAGCACTAAATGATATGAATGATGCATAAATGCAAATGTGTATATGGAAGTTGTATTTTGTATATGTTAGCACATTATTCCAATGACGTTGTGAAGTTTGGTATTGCTACATCGATGCCATTTTTGCTATTTGGGGTTAAGGGGTGGTGAAAGTGAGTCCCTTGCTATCTTTGATTGTCAGTTAAACCATATGGTTCCAGGATTATACGTAATTCAGTCTCAGATGGTGTAATCAAACCATAGCATTTTTGGATGTGAGGGTTTACAAAAAAGATATGTGTATGGAAACCTATTTATTTATATATTAAACTGACTGATCACAACCAATTACTCCTACAATCCAGTTTTCATACGCACACAGACCTTAAGTCAATTCCACTGAGCCAAATGTCTAGAGTGGGTCATATAGTGAGGGAGCAGGAGCTAAGGGAACAACATTTATGGGAAACGCAAGAGAAGTTGAGAGGGGTTATCCTGTGCTGCCTCTGGATCAGGAGTCCTGGATGTCCTAAGGCCGGCCGAACGCCTCGCAAATGACAGCTGGGCAGAGCCAGCTGTGATCTCACGGCTGGCTCTGCCCAGTTGTAATGACAGATCAGCGTCCCCAAATGACCTGGGGACACTGATCTGTCATTAAACAATAACAGTTGTTATTCATTGGCCAGGACCTGCTAGAAGACTCTAGCAGGTCCCGGCCAATAGGAAACCGTTGGGCGGAGCTAGTCGTCACTGACAGCTCCGGAGGTCACGACTGGGCAGAGCCAGCTGTGATCTCACGGCTGGCTCTGCCCAGTTGTAATGACAGATCAGCGTCCCCAAATGACCTGGGGACACTGATCTGTCATTAAACAATAACAGTTGTTATTCATTGGCCAGGACCTGCTAGAAGACTCTAGCAGGTCCCGGCCAATAGGAAACAGTTGGGCGGAGCTAGTTGTCACTGCTAGCTCCGGAGGTACCGAGCAAAATAGCCGAGCCGAATGCTGCTTGGCGGCATTTGTTCTCTTTTGGTCTCTTTTCCAATTTTGAGAGAGATATACTTATAAGTATAATCTCTTTGAAGCTGATTTCAGTTTCTAGTTAATGGTGCAGTTGTGATGTATACTTAAAATTAAAATAATTTAGTGGAAGTTTGTCTTTGCCTTAAATATATTTGTGGCTAATAGCCAGTTCTGTGCATGATATAACAAGTTAGTTCTTGCTCAGTATAAATTGAGCTGGTGAATATCTGTTACCCCCACTTGTACGCTCACAGGCCTTTTCTGGAATATACATACAGACTGCAGACAGGCTACATCCAGCTGCCTGATTGAACTCTTCCTCTTGAGCAAAGATGGACAGGCCAAGACACTCAGTAAAATTGTAACTACACTGTTAAGTTGTCTTTCCTGTGCCATCCCCTGTTGCCTGATGCCATGACTGAGACACAAAACCAAGCTGGAGCCAAGAACAGTCACACAGCCAAGACAAGAGGAGCACACATGTAGCAAAAGACCAGAGGGGGCAGCAATGAGCCAGAAGTGAGCTCAATGACACAAACACAGCAGCAGCAGCGGACTCCCCTTTATCTAGGGAAAAAACACAAACAAGGTGCGCCTTTCCTGGTGCAGACTAATGTATTGTGATAAAATCAATAATAGATGAGAATCATACTCACAAGGGTCAACATGAATGGAGCATTGTATGTGAAAAAAGTAAGCCAGTGACAGCTGCACAGCCGTGCCTGTGTGCCAGCAAGGTAGGCTGTGATAACGCGTTTCCGGGGTCACGCCCCCTTCATCAGATGCAGGCCTCCTCGTTCCCATATGCACTATATAGCAACTGGTGGCCAATCGGCTGGTGCGCCGGGACCTCATCAGCTCAAGCTGCAACAGCTGAGGATGTGTCCGGTAGGGCGGCCATGATAGCAGAAAGGGTTCCCCGTTCTGTGGCTGACGGGGCAACACACTGGGCGGCTCGTCCAATCACTGGATGGCCTCAGGTGGGCACGCCTGGTGAGAGTGGCCAGTGGCTACCACCATATAAAGGCATTTATAATCACACAAGTTTTATTCTTGAAACTGTACCTCTTATACAATAATTGGGTCTCCTTACCAGTTACATTTTGCGCAGGAACTTGCTAGCTCACTAAATTTGTGGCAGGATCAACAGCTATTGGTACACACACTTTGGTGAGGTGAGATGAGGTAAGGCAGTCGCCCCTTACAGATTCATTATGGATCCACATTCACATAATAAAGCAAGTTAGCCCAATCTGGGGTCCACATTTCGAGTTCAGTTTGTGCACCCTCTGCATGATTCTGTTGCTGTTGAATGTCAGATTGTGAATGAAGATTTAGGGGTACGTTATACAGTGATGTAGTATGATATCAGTCTGTCACTGCCTCACCAAATTTAAGTTTGTAGCACTTTTTGATGATTGATGGTCTTGGCTCAGTCCGGTCAAGAGTCTAGGGAATGTCCAGGGGCTCAACTAGATCTTGTATAATGCTGCAGTAAACCAGAAGAATAGAGCAACTGGTCAAAAGTGTGCACCTGCCTGTCACTTCACAAAGGAGGATGCACTTGTAGGAAGCTGATGTTTGATGGGGCAGTACAAAAAAAGGCAAAGCAAATGTGACAGCATATCTGTGCTTAATACAATACTTATCAATCAAAGGCATGGGGGGGGGGAACTAATACCTAAACTAAAACTAATAATTTATGCCCTCAATTTGCCTCAATTTCTGGCCTCATTGAAAGGAAAATCCTTTGAAAGGTGATGCCTTTAAAAAATGTTACTTCATTTTTTCTTTCTGTAGAATTAATTTTGGATTTTTGGAATTTTTCTTATCTCTTATAGTGTCCTCAGTGTATAACAGTTATAATAATTGTTGTTACAGTTTAGGCTCAATATACCAAGTCATTATTTGCCATAAGGATCCATATTTTCAACCATGTCACTATTTTATTCAGCTCTCATTGACACTCATTGCTGAAAATAACAATGTTGTTTAATGTCAAATATCAACCCTTGTAGCTTAGAGAATAATATCTCGGGTTAATTGTACCTGCTAATTATTTTGCCTTGATTTGTTGTCCTATATGGATCTCCTATGAGAAAAGTCCGACGTAATTTACACTTGGGATTAATCTAAAGGGATATTAAAATGGAAAACAAGGAGCCATCCATTATACAAAAGCAGATAAACAGGAATCAAATGTCAGTTTTTTATCACGTACATTGGAGGTATACAGGAAAAGCTGTGTCATTTAGAACAAAAAAAGTTACCCAAGATACAGAAATTGTACCTGAAGCATATTTGTACACTACAAATTATTGCTAATACATTGCTGTCTTGTGTTTTAAGGCAGGGGCACATCTGTTCTTTATGTGCATTTAAAAATCATATGTTTATACCGTACATATCTAAACTCTATTCATCCTTCAGTACTTCCTTGCTCCTATTCTCTTTTCTCCTGGTTTGGAGTGCATTATTTAAAATCTGTGCTCATCGTGCTATTGTCTTCAAAACTGGTTCTTCTGGTTATTTTGGCCTATATACTTTATGTTGTAGTATTGTTCTTTCTAATATTCTGGTGGTATATTCTATATATATTCTATATTCAATATAATGTTGTGATTTTAGTATTGCTAGCACTGGTGAACAGTTGTTTAATAAAAGTTATTTGTCTTGTGGGAGAGTTAGTCGGCGGCAATTTTACTGCATAGTCAAGCTGAAAAACATTATTTTTCTGGTGAAGTTCAGCCTTACAGCAAGTCTAGCGTCACAGTTCCCTTTTTAATCTTGTGGCGAGGAAACAACTTTTCATGTTCCCCAGACTGTACAGATTGCCAGTCTTGTAAGTATAAAACTAGGCTGTTTGAATTCTTGAATATACCTCTGGTCCGTTCCCTTCCCTGTTATGCACAGGATTCAAAGGTCATGCTCTAATTTTTTTGTGTTTAGAACAGTAAGAGTTGTATAGTATATCTTGGCAGAAATCACTTCAAGTTTCAGGTACACTCTGGGCCGGTTTTACCAGTAGGCAACGTAAGCACGTGTCTACATGCACCATACATAGAGGAGTGCTGTGCACTTACCTACTCTGCCTAATTCCAGGTGTTGTGTCACGATACAACGCTGGCAATAGCGAGGTGGGATTCTGCACAAAAGTCACCCTCTTGCTCCAAGACCAGTGACACCTACAGGAACCACTGGCTACCGCAAACACTGGAAGGACCCCAGTGCTGCGTAAGGCTGCCTTGTAAAATGCCTGTCTGATGTGGCCAAGTGTTTAGGGCAGCCTTATGTAAAGCCGGGGTCCTTCTCTGCATATGTGAAAGCTAGCAGGTCCCACAGCAGGTAAGGGCGCCGGCTCAGCTAAACAGATTTCCATTCTTGCCTACAGGTGCCCAAAATTGAAATCCGGCTCTGGGTACACTGTTTTACTCCCTGTCAAGTTCACTTGTTTTTTTAAGCAATGTTGATTGCCTCTCATTAACCAGTTACAGCTGACAAATAAGAATTGGCCACTGATCTGTGATATCAATTAAAAATGCAATCTGTTTTTTAATACCTTAAAAATATATACTCAGTTTCAGTTAATTTACAGTTGATAACAAATATACTATCTTAAAGATTAAAGTATATCTATTCTAAAGCCAATTTTGTATTTTATTTTGGATACAGTATGGAATAGTTAAAGCAATCATAAGGCTTATTTTCCCATCTTTGGCATCACCAAAAGTGTCCCTATTTAAAAAGTTCCCTTCGGTTTCTCGTTTCTGGTGACAGCTGAAAACTTTGGGTCTTCCCTTTTTACTTCCAGGGATAATGGTCACCTCTCTGTACAATTTTAAGTTTGTAGAGTTGTTTTTGCATAATTGGTTCCTTGAATATGCCAACTATGAGCTGGGGAATTTGCTAAACTTTAACAGCCAAACCTGTGATTAGTTAGGCCAGGGAACGTGGCACACTTTCCTACTGAACCATAAGCTCAACTATACACAGTCACTAACCCCTTTTATACAAAGCTGTTAGGATTCTCAAATTATTATAAATATCTTACATTTGTACAATATTTACAAGTGCTAAAACTTTCCTTATTATTATTATTATTATTAATTATTAATATGATTATACAGGATTTATATAG